GAACTCTGTAAAAAATGGCTGTAATTCCTAAACGGTTAATGCAATATTTTTGTTAAACCCCTTGAATTAAAGCTGAAAGTCTACGCTTCAGTCACATCTTGACTGCTTCATTTCAAATCCACTGTGGTGGTGTACAGAGGCAAAATTACCAAAACTGTGTCACTGTCCCAATATTTATGGACCTGACTGTATATTATTATTTAATTATTTATTATTTAGCACAATGTTCTCTGTATTTGGTTGATTTTCAGCATTTGGACCCATGCTTGAAGAGGCCTTATTTTCCTTTGCCATATTTCTGACCACTTACTGCCATGCATTTATGGCCCTTTCACACATTTTGTAGTGCACTAGTTTACATAACCATAAGACAAAATGAAAAAGACAAAGAAATTTTATCACACATTATCACACATTATCATTTTTCTTATCACTAATAACAAAAATGGGCAAATAATTAATGCCAATATATTTATTGGGGTATTTTTTTAATATCCATAGCACCATTTTTTGTTTGTTTGTTTTTTGTTTGTTTTTTTCCTCCAAATTATGTCTGGATTCTTTCTTTGGGGTTTTTTTGGTTATTTTGGTTTTGTTTTAGTTTTGTTTTTTGTTCTTTAGTTTTGTTGTTGTGTTGTTGTTGTTTTGTTTTGTTTTGTATTTAATGATTGTAGACAGAGGTACTTTTTCATTTTCGCCGCACAGAAACCATAGGGGTTGCCAACATCTGCACACAGCTGTCGGTGAAAACGCATTCGAAATTCAAAACTGAAGATTCCGAGCCATACAGACTGATAGAGAGAGAGACTGAGAGGCTAATGGCTGAATGTCTGTCTCTATTACTCTGTCTAACTAGATAATGATATTTCTGGACACGTGTCAGATTTGGGTGTTGTCCTGAGGGTGATAATGTGTAAACATGTTTTATAGCACAGTCTTCTTGCCCAATTCTTTGGCAGCTCATCAGATGAAACCTTAGCCACCAAGGAAAGAATAAAAGGGAAACTTCCACTGAGAGGATGTTAGACTCAGCACGGCAAAATCCTGAGAAGACAGAGGGAAACTTTTTTTTGTTCCCATATGGACAGAATGCAGATAATTAAAAGTGTTTGAGGAAAGGAAGGCAATGTAACGAGAGTGCAGCTCTGCATTTGGCACCTTGTTACCGTGGAGACACGTGACCATAGCGACCGGAGATGAGGATTGAAGCAAATCAGCACACAATGGAGGCTGTCTCCGGACACTGCACATGCGTGTGTGTGTGTGTGTGTGTGCCATATATGATTTGCATCTTTTGTGTGATGCATCAGTTTCCAGTGTTTTTATGTGTGTATATAGGTGTGTGTATTCCAGCATAGTGTACATGCAACACACTCTCTATCATATAAGCAAACAGAAAGTAGTCCCATGCAGTCTACCTAATTCTCTCTCTCTCTCTCACACACACACACACACACTTTCTACATCTTATCCAGGGGAAGAATACCTATGTGAATAGACCCAAATCCCTCTCAGGAAATGAACATTAACAAATCACCAACACAGTGCATTATTGCAAAGCCGCTTAGAGCGGAACGGCGACTGAATGGAAAAGAAAGGAAACGAGACCCTTCCCTAAATCAGTGCCAGTCACAGCCATTTGTTGAGACAAAGGAGCAAATGTTTGAATAAAGATTTAGTGCTTTTATCTCTGCTCCATCACGGCTCCATTCTCCAGAACATGCTGTGTTTGCAGGGTTTGAAAAGGTGGTATGCTTTGGCAGTTACTGTAATGAGTGTGTGTGTCTGTGTGTGTTTGTGTTTGAGAGAGTCATTCTAAAAATATGTCTTTTACAATATATAAGAAATATCATTTGATAATAATACTAATAATAATATTCCTTATTATATATTGTTAAGCAGTAATTTCTGGTTAGGCTCCAGCTCCATTACAACCCTGACTGGGATAAAGCAGTGAAGGTGATGATGAATATTTCCTGGCTGGAACTGCAGTCACTTCCAGATTAAATGCCTGTATATCATGTCTGTGTGTAGCAATCACACACTGATATGAAACATCCTCCATGGAAGTTTGTTTTCCTCTGCACTGCCGCCTCCGAGGGACAAACAAGGCCACTTCCCTTTCCTCTTGGCATCAGCTTCCCTTCCTGTGATGTCACTGGAGACAAGTCTCATCCTAGTTTATATATCAAGGGCTCAAAGTCGAGACCATAAATATTTTTTGACATGAAGGAGTCAGTTTCAGGTCATTATGCTTCTGTTCGTAAAGGAACATTTCAGCTGTTGTCTGAGAAAAGCAAAAAAGCAGAAGAGCGAGACAGTCTCTCTGTTCTGCAGAAACGCTCTCTTGCTGTCTGCATACATGCCCTATGGGAAAGTGTATTAATTCACACACACACACACACACACACACACACACACACAGGCACAACACATGCAGAGCTTAATCATCTGTCTGTGTCTCTCACTGATACGACTGTAAATGAGAGTGGAGAATTATTCAGCAGCAATCATTTTTTCCTCCTCTCATTATGGGAGTGTGCTGGAGGTGGGGGAGCTCGTAGCTGGAGGCCCTGGGCGTAGCAGAGATGAGAGGAACAGCTCCAGCAGTTTAGCTCTCACGGATATGATAAAGACAGAGCTCCTCTGACGCCGAGTGTCTGTACGGTTTATTCTTTAAACAGACTTACTGACAGTACAAGCACTGCTGAGCTGCACTCACACAGAGATAGACACAGAGTCTGAGTGCACTTTGAGTGTGCATGTGTGTCTGTGAGAGAGAAAGTCTGTATATTTTTGTGTGTGTGAAAAAGTAACACTCAACTCGAAAATAATACTGCTGCTAAATGCTCCAAGAAAGTTTGTAGGAGCTAATTGCATTGAATAAACAAGATTCTGCCAACCGCTCCCTGCTCAATGTCAGCCACATTAGATTATTTGTGTGAAATATTGGTTTGTAGCAGCCTAATCATTAAGATGTGACTTTTAACTTCACATTACAGTTGCACAATGGTCATCACTTATCAGTCAGTATGGCATTGTTCATATACACAGTCCGTCATATACAGACATGCATGTATTGTACAGCACAGAACAAGGAGGTACAAGCAGGACAGCAAGGTTTTAGTTGGGTCGAAATGGAAAGGGTTTTTAAAAGAGCAAATAAAAAAAACCCAATAAAATAAAATAAAATCCTTAAAAAGCAGCGGCAGAGAATAATTTGTACACCCAGAGTATACTCTGCCTCCTTGACAGTTACTGAAGATGAATCAATTAATCGGTGAATTCAGTTTTCATAAACATTTAATGTTAGAATTGTATACAGACTGCTATTCTGATCGACTGTTATTCTGAGCTTTTGTAGCTGTAACATGTATTTTTTCCTGTAAACACTGTATGAGTAGAAGAATATAATATAAGTTACTTATATTAATAATTTTCTGTCAAACGAACAGCCGTCAGACACAAACAATGTTTTTGTCTTTGACCCAATTCTAATCCATATATGCATCTGCGAGCCGTACATTTTTAGGGAGAGAAAAAACGGTTATTTAATGATTTCTTGGATGGTTTATGGTTCTAACTTTCTAAAGGGGTTTTGTGAAAGAGACTCCGTTATAGCGTGCTTCATAGAACCAAAGAACCCTTTAAGGCGCTAGATGGAACCTTTTTGCCTTACACTGTGTTTTATCCGTGCAATCTTCCTATGTTATAAGAAATTAGTCCTTGATTACAGAATGTCAGAATAAGCGAATCACAGGTAGCAACAGCAGGTAAGTGACAAGCCTCCTGACCAAACATCTGGCCATTCAAATTTATGTGTAAAGTAGCATAGAGGTTTGTATAATATAAATGTTGCCTGGGGTCAACTGGGGGCCAATCCTGCTTTACAGTAAATGGTGATAGCAGATTGTATTAGTATAGTGTAGTATATGACCTCATTTTGCCCTAAGGCAACATATGAGCAAGCGATTGAAGAAATAAGAGTCTCTTTTATGTTTCTGCATGAATAAAGATGAACTCACATGGCAACCATGCTGCTTATACTCTTCTTTTCTTTTCCATGATGTGGTGACTGTTCAGTCCTGTCATCTATGTCAGGTTGCAAATATGGGAAGTATTATATTCTCATGTACAAAATTTTTCTTAATTAGTTTCCAGTTTCTCCAGGTTCTCTGGTGGACTAGAGGCTAGCATGCGACGCTCTCACTGCCATGGCCTGGGTTCGATTCCCGGTCAGGGACTCAACCTCAGCCACTGGAGGGTTGCATGAGCTCAGTGCTGGTCCCCAGCCTGGAAAACAGGGAGGGTTGAGGCAGGAAGGGTGTCTGGTGCAAAATTTGTGCCAGAATCAAAAATATGCAAAATACTGGGGATCTGCTGTGGTGACCCTGAACAGGAGCAGCTGAAAGAGGGAAAAAAAGTTTATGGCTTTACCAGTTGACTGCACCAAAACCATTCATTTCTGACTCAATGGCTATATTTACATGCACATCAAATTCCTTTTAAGATCTATATTCGGGTTGCAGCCATATTCCGAATACGATGTTTACATGCGTACAGGCATCGGAATATTCCTGTATGCATGGCTGTTGTAAGTATACCTGAGTCTCCATTCCTAAATACCTAGCCTACAGCTAAGCATCTGTTAGCACCCACAATTCCTTGTGGACTGAGCATGCGCATATATCTCCTTTCAGTGGATTTTCTGAATTATAATTATATTTTCTAATTATAATATCGCCAAATTCTGATTAAAAATTGGAATATTGATGTGCATGTAAACGTAGCCAGCGACTCAGTAACAATGGGTGGAGTTTAGAGTTTACAGAAGATCACATTTGTGCTCCATTCATATATTGATTTTATTTAGTTTTATTTATACAGATAATTCAGTGCTAAATAATGTATGCCCACTATGCTCAAGCTACACAATGTAAACTGATGCACTCTTAATTACTCCTGGAGGTGAACCTTGGTAGCGCACACGATGAAACTATTCGATCAGATACAGAGCAGGCCCACTCAAAAACTCCTAATAACCCAAGCTTTAGTCAGCACTGTGGTTACTCCAGACACGATCTGAACCTGGCCAAACTTCAGGAAAGAACTACTTTTTGACAAACTACCTGACCGAGAATCCCTTTGGACTTATTAATCGTAATCAAGACAAGAGTGTGCGTTGCGTTGCTACACATGATGTTCACTCACGCAATGGAACGCAGTTGAGATCTTAGATGAACAGTTAAGAATGGCAGGAGCTTGCGCCCTCTTTTCCCTCACATGTGTTAACACTCATGAAGCAGCGTGGTTGAAACGTAAACACAGCCTCAGTGTGTGCGAGTCCCAGCTCTAAGTGAGCAATGCATCATCTCTGCAGAAGTATGCGTGACGCACATTTGGATCACATTATTTCATTTGTTGAAGTGGAACAACACATGTCTGGCCCCCATAATAGGGCCCAGCTGGAGTGATTCGGATCATTCCATTGTATGACAGAGAGAGAGAGAGAGATTTGTGAATGTGAATGAGATTGCGTATGTGTTGCATTCTAAGGGCATTACCTTTGTGAAGAAGGTTATCCAGACATGGAACTGAATAGGTAGTAATTTCCTCATCCATGAGTTCTGACCTGTGATGTTTTTTTTTCGTGTGTGTGTGTGTTTGTGCCCACCCACAGGGTGCTGTGATTACGCCAGCCATGGACCACACCATATCCATGCAGCCAGCCAACATGATGGGGCCCCTCACCCAGCAGATGAACCATCTGTCCCTCGGCACCACTGGCACTGTGAGTAGCCCTCTCAATCTGGTAAACTATCCAATAAACTGCTCTGACCAGAGTCTGACCAGAATGGCTGCTCTTACTCCGTTTGCAGTACATGACAGCGGCAGCTGCTGCGGCTCCTATGCAGGGAACCTACATTCCCCAGTACACTGCGGTGCCTGCCTCAGCCATCTCAGTGGAGGTAAGATGCCCTTCACTTCCCTCAAGTGCACACTACATGAAATTACCCACTTCCTGTCGGCAATAACATTTTTGTGTTTGTCACAACCTCCCCTTCAAGATTTGCGACATAGTGCCATCTTAGGCATCAGCAGTAGACCCGTCTCAGCTGAGCAAAGTGCTCGGATGGGATATACTGCTTCAAGAGACCAACAGGCAACAGATTCAATAAGACTGATATGTGCTCTGATCTACATTTCCTGATAGGAATGCAAGCTCCCACATTCTGAACTAGCTCACTAAAAGAGACAGCATCCAGAGGTTTGGGAAGCATCAACTAGTTTCTCAGCATCTGTCTGATTCATGATAATATGCCATTTTAGAGATGCTACTTATAGTATATAGGTATCAAATTATGTATCAGCATCAGCATAAGAACAGTGACAAGTGAGGAATAAAACGCAACATTATAGGAAAATAATCAACAACGAGGTGGTGCGATGCGGCCCAGATATGAATGCCAATAATTAAACGTTTCATTTATTTTAAAAAATGACACGTCTGTTTTTTTGTAGATTCAATACAAGAAACTATCCACACAATTGAAAAATATTCCAAACTTTCCAATTACTCAACTGACTGGACCAAATCCACTATGCTCCCTCTCAACAATCTCTACCTATCCCAATAAGCACAGACTGCATCACTTATCTTGGTGTCAAAATCTCCGCCAAGTTCTTTTAACCCATTATTGAGCACCATAAATAATGATCTCCAACTCTGGATAAACCTTCCCCTCTTTCTCATTTGCAGAATAGCGTCCATAAAAATGATGATACTACCCAAAATAAATTACTTATTTTCAATTATGTCTGCTCAACCTCCCCCTTCCTCATCCAAATCACTCAATTCCAATGTCACTAAATTTTATTGGAAAAACAAACCTCCCAGAATCAAATTAACCACCTTACAAAGAGCCAAATATCATGGAGGACTCGATGCCCCAAACTTTCAACAATATTACCTCACTAACCAACTCCAACATATAATCAAATGGATAAAACCCAGTCAGAAAAATGAGATATGGCTAAATGCTGAACAGGCACTATGCAAAGAAATCAGAATCTTGGAGCTACCATTCATCAGCACAGCTATCAAATGCCACCCCTGCTTCAAAAGCCAACAATTGCAGTGACTTTAACAGCTCGGTGGAAATTTTTATAAAACTATAAATTCACCACTCCAATGAACCAAACACACAATAAACATTTCTTTGAATTTCTACAACTCAGATCCATTATACATGTATGCTTTAAAATTAACCTAAAAGACAACACATTAGAACTTCCCCCATTAGTATCAGAACTTCTGAATATCTTACCACCAACTAAAGTCCTAACCAAAATTTATAAAATAATATCCAAATCTACAATTACCATACCATGTAAAAAAAAAAAAAAAAGGAAGCATCACACTCAGAGAAGATTTTTGGCCTTACAGAAGTCTTAGAGAATATGTCCTTCATAGCTAATAACACTAGTCTGCACACGATACAATACAAAATAATCCATGGAACTTGCTACACAGGCCGTAGGACGTATAGAATGGGCTACAGGGAATCTGACATCTGCACACTGTGCACACAAAATACACCAGACAGTTACATACATGCCATATGGGACTGCACACCAGTTTTTCTGGAAACTTTTGGAAACAAATCACTAATGAAATATCTCGTTTTCTAAATCACAACATCCCACTCTCCCCTTCACTCTGCTTACTCTGAGATACATCTGGGATCAACATCACAAAGGAAAACACAATAGTTCTTCTTACAGCGCTAACCATCGCCAAGAAAACCAGACTAACAAATTGGAAATCAAAGAATAACATTAATATCACACATTGGAAAAAACTAATAATCAACTACATAACAAGGGAAAAACTCTCTGCCTCAATCAAAAAATAATACTACTAAATTTATCTCTATTTGGACACCACTTATCACCTACATACACCAGGGAATCACCCTGAAATAGCTAACAGTACAGTCCCTACAGACAAACCACATAATCGAAGCCATACCACACATCTCAAACATAATGCTCACAAACACATACAACTAAATCACACACACACATACATACGATGTCCGACGTCCGACACCCACCGCTCACCCATACAAAAATAAATAAATAAATAAATAAATGACCTGTCTTTCTTTTATCCATTTATAGTTATTTATAATATTATGGAACATCCATGAAACCAGCTAGTTCCTTATACCAGCTATAAACAGCCATTCCCACACCAGGCTCATTTTTTCTCTACATTTAAGTTAACAAGACAAAAATGCAGCTGTATAAAGCACAGTCCTCTGTCATGAAGGCTGAGAAACCTGAAGGAACAGCTATACTTACAGTATACAGCTATACTGTCACTGGAACCTCCTTCCATAAATGTTAAATAAACATCATCATAGCAATGATTATACATGAGCACCACATTTTAAACCTGTTTTTTACTTGGCTAAAATGACGTGAGCCCAAGTCCATGTGAAATATATATACCTGTGATTTGCCTTGGAGCTGACACAATTGTCACAGCAGTGCTGTTAGAGAAAACTATTCAACACCTTCTGACCAATCAGAATGTGTTGAGTAAGTAGCACAGCCATGCTGTGGTATAACAACAGTTAATAAGAGTACAAGAGGAAAGTCTTGGAAGCTGAGGCAGGAACAATCAGAAGAGAAATCAGGAGAAGGTCACTCCATGTTCTTTGTGTACCCAGGACATAGAAGGATGACTGATAGTGCTCTGCCAAGAACATGAATGCTTATTTGGTTTTGAGATCTAAAATACTAAAAAAAAAAAAACCTTTCCTCAAAACTTTTTTTTTAGGTTCTATTATTTCACGTTTCTTCACAATCCAAAAGCATGCAGAAACAACAACTACAGAAAGATGCTCAGTGCTTTGCCAAACCATGTCAAAACAGTTGTCTTGCTTATTTCTGGGATCAGGTGCTCTTTGCCAGGGAACACTCTGGGTGAAAGATTGTGTAATATGTGAGCCTCATGTGCAGACTGTTAAACAGACAAGACAACAGATCCCAAGCATTCTCTTTGTCTCTATGATTTTGAAAATCATGGAGTGTGTATTAGGCCTCTCTGCTTCACCCACCCACCGGAACTGAGCTTAATGAGGACCAGCTGAATTAGAGCTGATCCAGAACATTACTTAATCAGCAGTAGTCTCACAAATTATCTGACAGAGAGTCCCCTTGAAAATATTAATCA